ATGTAAAGGATTGATAGGACTGTCTTCCACTTGGAACTGATGCCTCAGGCTGCAGAATATCATAACAAATTAATAAAATGATTACTTTAACAACTGAGTGTTTGTGTTGCAATTCTATTGACAAGGTAATTGTTTGTTTAAGTACGAAATAACTCAACCATACACTAATGTACATCAAGCTTAATGTCTTTGCCAGTAATAAGTGGATACACCTGATCTGAACACAAAGTCATGTAGATTTGTTGCTGAAAACAAAGCAACAAGGATAGATGCTATCCGTGAGAGGACTTCCTTGGCAAATGAAGTGCTTAAATCCTACTTATCACTACTTTATAGGTATTCACCTCTTACACGGTTCAAGTAAGCATCTGCATGATATTGCATTAAAACACCTCTAATTGACCTCAGTTACATCAGCTTGAGCATTGTACCTCTAGTGCTATTAGGGCCCCGAAGGCAAATCAACCTCCCATTACTCTATTATAATAGATGAAATCCCAGCTTTGATTTTACAGCTTGCAAAGTAACAGGGTTCAGCCACTAGCTGGTGTTCTTCTTAGTAGACCGAAGTTCAACTCCACAGTCACGCTTGTAAACAGCTAACTGGTCTTCCTCGTGCCAGTCATAGTTTTCATTATTTTACAATATTTCTTGCAGCATTTGCAAATAAAGTTAAATTNAATAAAATGATTACTTTAACAACTGAGTGTTTGTGTTGCAACTCTATTGACAAGGTAATTGTTTGTTTAAATACGAAATAACTCAACCATGCATTAATGTATATCAAGCTTAATTTCTTTGCCAGTAATAAGTGGATACACCTGATCTGAACACATGTAGATTTGTTGCTGGAAACAAAGCAACAAGGATAGATGCTATCAGTGAGAGAATTTCCTTGGCAAATGAAGTGCTTAGATCCTACTACTTTACAGGTATTCACCTCTTACATGGTTCAAGTAAGCATCTGCATAATATTGCATTAAAACACCTCTAATTAACCTCAGTTACATCAGCTTGAGCATTGTACCTCTAGTGCTATTAGGGCCCCGAAGGCAAATCAACCTCCCATTACTCTATTATAATAAATGAAATCCCAGCTTTGATTTTACAGCTTGCAACGTAATAGGGTTCAGCCACTAGCTGGTGTTCTTCTTGGTAGACCGAAGTTCAACTCCACAGTCACGCTTGTAAACAGCTAACTGGTCTTCCTCATGCCAGTCATAGTTTTCATTATTTTACAATATTTCTTGCAGAATTTGCAAATAAAGTTAAATTGCAACATGGTCAGAATGCTGCGGCTAGACTTGTACTGAACTTAAGAAAG